TCAGGGCAGAGTAGAAGGGGAGGAGAACCTCAAGTCCAACCTCCTGTCCCTGCACAGGACAATCCCAACATTCAGACCATGTCCCTGAGGGCCTTGGCCAAATGCTTCTGGTTTCTTGTCAGGCTTGGTGCCATGAGCACCTCCCTGGGGAGCCTGTTCCAGTGCTCCACCACCCTCTGCCTCAAGAACCTTTTCCTCATGGCCAACCTAAACTTCCCCTGCCACATCTTCCTGCCATTTCTTCTGGTCCTATCATTGGTCACCAGAGAGAAGAGATCAGCATCTGCCCTTCCTCTTCCCCTTGGGAGGAAGTTCTAGACCATGATGAGATCTCCTCTCAGTCTCCTCCAGGCTGAACAAACCAAGAAACATATATAGCAAGATGCCGTGACTACGTGGCGTTATATTTTCCATGGTATCACAGCTTCATTTGGTGCCAAATTTCTTTGAAGCCCATCAGTGAGCATCTGTTCCTCTGGGTAGGAGAAGATGGAGGCTGTGCTGCTTGCACTGCTTCAAGCCCTGCTGGGACATCCTCCCTGGGCTTACTGGTACCACTCAGCTGTGCTGTTGCCAGATGCCACCAAGGTATGAATTATATTCTCAATGCACCCATGAGAAGAAGAGATGGTTTTAGCTCTGTTGGTCGAGAGGAAGATGAGTCATGGAGAGATGAAGGGGAAGGAGTGTCCCGTGGCTCCTGGCAGGTTCCTCAGCCAGGTGTTGCCCACCGTCCCCACACTCCAGCAAGGGTTTCCCATGTGGACCTCACTCTCTCATGTTTCCCTGAGCACCAAACTGATCTCACACACCTTGAACTGATCTCGTGCTAAAGTTGGAGCTTTTCCTGGGAACTTTCTGAGAAACATTGAACTTGTTGGAATTGAAGCAAATCTCTACCATGGCTTCTTGAGGGAGACTTTGCATGTCATGTTGTGCTTGTGCTGATGAACTGGGTTTTGGGTCCATTTTGGTCCATTTGGATATGTTTGGAAAACTTATTTAGTGGCAAAGTATCCATAATATCTGCTGAAGACTGAGGTGGTGTGACCCTGACTTGAGCTTCTCATTGGTCCTTTATTCTTTGCAGCCTTCTAATGCACAGAGGGTTGGTTTTGGGGGGGTTTTGGGGAGTTTTGGGGTGTTTTTTTTTAATGTAATGGCAAGAATCAAATCCCCAGTTGGGAATAGGGCTTTGGTGAGTGAGCTGCTGTTTATGGAAGTCCTGTACATCCATTGATGGAGAAGCTACGTCATTCCCTGGAAAGGCATCACCCCTTCCCCATCCAATGGATGGAAATGAAGAGTTGGGGAGGTTTTGAAGTCATGAGGGTCTGTGACAGACGTGTTTGTGGTTATGATTTTTGATATCTTAGCTGTAGGTTTCATAGTGACGTTCCCTTTCGATGGATGAAGCTGATAGCCTGGCAAAACCAAAATGCTGGTGGTACCAAGGCACGTTCCCCAGCTTCCCTGCCCATCCTCTCTCTCCTTGCAGTGCGTGACATGTGGGAAGGGGTTCAAGAAGCTCTGGTCCCTCCATGAGCACAACAAGATTGTCCATGGCTACGCTGAGAAGAAGTTCTCCTGTGAGATCTGCGAGAAGAAGTTCTACACCATGGCCCACGTGCGCAAACACATGGTTGGTGAGTGGAGGAGGCACCAGTGCTATGGGGAGATCTTGTTAGGGCTGTTCATCCATCCTTTATTCATGAAGGGTGGTTTTTTTGCTGCTGTCGTGTTGGGAGTTTAGGGCTGGACTTAGTCTTGGGTGAGCTTTCATTCAGGGGGTACCTGCTATGTAGCTGCCATACGTCCTCCTGAGAGGGCTTTGGGTTTGCTGGGGTTGGGAACAGCAGCTGGGACGTGGGGAGATGGATGCTCAGGGTACGGGGAGGCCACCTGACCCTGCTCCTCACCATTTCAGCTCACACCAAGGACATGCCATTCACCTGTGAGACCTGCGGGAAGTCCTTCAAGCGCAGCATGTCTCTCAAGGTCCATTCACTCCAGCACTCTGGGGAAAAGCCTTTTAAATGTGAGGTAAGGTCCTATGGGTCCTCTCACCCCATATCCTCTCTAATGGGCAGAAAAACACTGATTTGAAGAAAGATCTTTCACTTCTTGGGCCTTCCCCTCTGCTTTAGCTCTAGTGTTGCTTCCCTCTCTAGAAAACTTTACTTCCCTTCCTGGTTTGACCGTCCCACCAACCCTATGATGAAGCTGGTGGCCCACATCATGATCTCTCTGTCCAGTGCCTGGACTTTTGATCCCACCCCAAGCCTATCCAGCTTGCAAACTTGGCTGTGTGCATCCCAAAAAGCCATTTATTTGGGTTATTTTTTGAAGAGGAAAGTGATTTTTTGCACTTCTCCAACATGTTGGTGATTTGTTGGGGACGTGAGGGGTATTTTGGGTGCTCAGCAGCAGCTCATCCTCTTCTTGCCCCTGCAGAACTGCAACGAGCGCTTCCAGTACAAGTACCAGCTGCGCTCCCACATGAGCATCCACATCGGCCACAAGCAGTTCATGTGCCAGTGGTGTGGCAAGGACTTCAACATGAAGCAGTACTTTGACGAGCACATGAAGACGCACACGGGTGAGAACTCTTTGCCTTGTCCTCAGCCCCTGCGGTTGGGCAG